CACTTCAAATGCCTATCCAAGCTACAGTTATAATTAAAACAAAATTAAACCACTGCAATATTATTTAGAATACAGTTTAGAATATACACAACTATAAATTAAGGCCGCATTTAGGTTCGCTTTAAACACACGTGTCTTGACTTGGTTTGCATACGTATTTTAAGTACCTCAAACAACGATTGCACAAATTATTTTGTTTTTATGGGCACAACACAATTTCCATGCAACGAAAAAGAAATTAACTGAACAACTAGAAAATGTTAAAAAATATGCATTCAAAAAAATGTGTTGCTTCAATTCTCCAAGCAAGAGTGACAAATAAATCTTCTATTGTTATTATATATTACAGCGATTAAGTCCCAAAATTTAACTCTAAATCCGAAGTAAATGGTGTGTGCATCCGGATAATGGCGTGCAATGAGACAAAATGAACAAACTTACATTTGTACAGTACGATGTACAGTCCGATCGAATCGTTAACCATATCTCAACACGAATGACAACAATTTACTGAACATATATAAGCAAGTTGTGTTTATTCCATGAAAGGAATAATTGTCTAACTCAAATAACCAAATTAGTAGTTGTATTGATATTATACCAAACATGACATTGTATACTTGTTTTTAAAGTGAAAAGAAGGTAGCCTGTTTCACATGATTTGGGCATACATTCGCGATTATCAAAAAAATAAGGTTTTTAGTATGACTTTTCTGGTTCGTTGTTCAAATAGATCAACCAAAAATCAATAAATTGTTATTTAAAAAACAATCTGCAGAGATGTGGAAAACGTTTCCCACTGGTCACAATGTTGTGAAACAGAAGCAGGTTTCCTTTAAACACGCATACATCTCCCATTGGTTTCCACCTACTCAACCATGCCATTGTCATTAGTGATAACGCCAGCTTTCACATGGGCGTATTAAACGTAGGCAACAGAATGCCATGCACAGAAGATCACGGTCGCGTTCGAACTATATTAATAGAGTAGCGATAATTTTATATTTGCCTGTAATTGTCAGACAATTACGTTGGCACTCGAGTTTCGACTTTCCCCTTTCCCACCAATATAAATTCGCAAATAATAATTATTACACAAGTTTAATACATTTGCTTTTGTAAAGTCACGTGATACATCATTTACTGTCTCTTATATCCGGTTTCAGACGCAAAAAAGTAGGGATTAGTCTCTGAAACTTACACAAATCGCCGCTCATAAACATAAATTACAATTAAATTAAAGTTCGTGATTAATTCATTTAAGCTTGCTGTTTGGACAACTGTAACATATTGACCCAAGAACAAAAACATTTCATGCATATTTATTATCTTATTATCTGTGAGCAGCAAATGCTAATGACGATCTGTTTTTAAGGGATCATATATGTTATATTTATCATTGTCAAATTTACTGGGGGTGGAGTACAATTAGTGCTCGCTGAACTAAGCACTTCAATCAAATTTAATATTGACACGGCAGTTCCAAATATAAACCCAATTACCCCAAACAAAATAACGAACAAATTTTTAAAGAGTCGTCGCTTTGCACGTGTGGTGTCGTAACTGCTATAAAATGTAAGCTCGTCCAGGATTGCAGGAAATATCAACGTCAGAGCACTTCCTGTGAATGATCCGACCAATGAGATGAAGAGAGCCAGTTGTGGAATGGCTGCCGCAACCGCCACTAATAACAAAACAAATGTAAAGGAGTTCAACAAATATATGTATAGGGGTTTGTTTGAATATTTCAGCATAGTATCATTACAAATCTTGGATGTTATATTACATTTAATTTGTTATATTACATTTTTTTTATGTACTTCAATCTTGTATTTTTTCATTTGCTTTGTATATACTCAATTATTCCACAAATACTCTGACGATTCCTCTTTAAACAATCTACTCAGGCTGTGTCCCTTCAACGTATTTAAGACCTTGCTCACGCATCTACTTACATGTAAAAAGAACTAGTATTGTTCGGTAGACGTATTCGCCAAATGTTTGTAATCTCTCTTGTAACAACCCTCTCAGCGTCGGCCACGTAATTTGTATTGGAACATAGAACTGTATTGCATAGCTGACAACAAGAACTAATGATAACATGATTCTCACGGATATGTAAAGTCTGAAATAAATGTGCAGAACATTAAGTAATGTATATGAGATACTGATATTATAACAAACACAGTTGAAATATTGATGGTCATATTTGATATTGCTGATTGACATTGTATGTTTGTGATTACATCGGATTATGATTTACCGTGAGCTAAAAAACGTTGTTTTCCACAGTACACTTCAAATCTAATTTTTTCATCAACATGCTGTATCAGTACAACATTTATATTTTTATTTATAGCGTTTAATTAAAAACAATATCACTCAGTTGAAATAACATCATAGATGGTAGGCAGTGGTGAGGCGATTGTCGTGATTGTGAGTTCGAATGCTGTGTATCATTTTGAATGTAGTATTTGCCTGTTTGCTGTTGTATGTACAATTCATCATACGAGATTGAAATTTGGAGGTAACAACCGCAGATGACCCTGGGGAAAGGTTACCCATATTCACAGTCCGTGAAGAACACGAACTAATGAACAACAAACAAAGGATGGCCCTGGTTAAAGATTAACGATTAACATTACAATTACAATTTCAAGAACACAAATAACAAACAAAAATGATGAATGATGTTCTGACTTTATCAAATGAAAACGCTACATCATGGAATTGGGTACTACGCAGTTTGTCGTACCGGAGCAATGGTATACGCGATAGTAATATATTACTAGTATATTTAAAGTTTTAGTTTGGGGTTTAGATGAATGGAAGAGGTGGTTGTGAGGGGTGTTTACAGGTACATTAATGACTACGAATTTCTGCAGAGATGCTGCTTCATGCAAGTAAAGAAATCGACGAAATGTTGTCAATAATTTAAGCTTACTGATTATAATCTTTGGTGCTGATTTGTAAGTGTTACCCCAAGTCCTGTTTTTGACACACTTACAGTAGGTAAAATTGTAAAAAAAATAACATAACGTTCGATAGCGTCACGTAACGCAACATAAAGTAATTGACTATGCGGGGTGAATGATATTACATCAGTAGAGGCAGTACAGCTAAATACGAACTAGGTTGAGCAAAATGGCGGATTAGACAACTCACTCGGACATTTTTTTTACATGATCTATTGCAGATCGTGATATGGTATGACACGCAAAGAATATTAGCCTTTAAGGAAATACCTCAATTTTGTTTGTATAAATGTCATTGTGTTGGTACCTACCCTTGGTCTTGGGGAAGATTGAGTGTTATAGTATCTTTGACATCTAAACCAAATCGCATGTATCCCAGCGTACCCATAAAAATATATAGAATCGTCACTATTGCCATAGAAATATGGAGAGTCTTTTTAAAGTGACGGGGGTGCTTCATCTTATTTTCAACTGGCAGTACCTACAATACGTTACAAAATAAAGTATAACTTAACACAAGTTTAACTAGACTACTATTAGTTGCTCAATTGACTAATATGTTCTAACCCTCTTTCTCGTTTTATTATAATATAAGTTTGTGAGGTAATTTCTAATGAGAATAAACATATTATAAAATGTAGTAACTTCTAAGCCACAAATGTAATAATATACTTAATTTGCCGG